AGAAGCCCCGAGCAGCCGAGGCGAAGCAGCAGTCCGGGGAGTGGGAGGGGCTGAGCTTGGACAGCTTCGGAGGCAGCTGCTAGCTAGCTCCGAGAAAGAGAGAAAGAGGGAGGGGGGAGGGAGGGGCTGCTCAAAGCAACAGAAGAAGAAAAAATCTGTGAGGGAAGTCTGCGGTCTCCACATGGAGTAAGTCTTCTCCTCCCTCAGCCATTGGCAACAGCTCCCAGGGACGCACGTGCGTTCGTCTCGAAGAAGAATATACGCTCCCAGTTGCTAGGAGAGCCTCGGCGGCTGGAGGCTTTTTCGTAACTTAAAAAAAATCGGGACTTTTAAAAAAAAAAACGGGACACGGGAAAAATTGTTCAAAAGTGGGACTATCCCGCTGAAAGCGGGACATCTGGTCACCTTAATTATACAATATACCTGATGGTATAACTCTAAGATAACACTAACCTTTAATGAGGATTTCAGCATTCAGGCTTAGTTACAAAAAACTTTAATTCCCATGATTTCTTAAGACGAAATAATGGTTGCAAGACCATACATTTTCTCTGTGTTGATATATCCCAATATTTGCTTATTACTGAAGGTTACTAGTTTTTTTACAATACTTTTTTTTGTAACCTTATCCACAGGGGGAAAAGAAGTGGAGCATCCACATAATTTTAGAAGTCAGGAATCTGGGGATCCATTCAAAGAGTATGTACTCACCAAGCCAGGCAAAGTAGAGAGCAATCTTCTCTCCAAAGTACCTGCGGATATGACTCAAAGGCTGATATTTCTTCCACTTACTCCACTGGGCCCAATAATGGAAAAGAATCTGCCTCTGATTAGAGGGCTCTTCCTCTGATGACATCTTGTATGGGCCCTTTGGCAGAGAGTGATATTATCCACATAAAATACAAATTTGTATAGTGTATGTTGCATTGCACATGAACTTGTACACTTATAAAATGCAATAATTAATAATACTAACAGTGATTAATTATTAAAACTATGATAATTAGATATTATATAATACATACACACATACAATATACTTTTTGAACTTCTACTTGTAACTTTTTAAAACAAAGGTGACATGACAAGATGTTTTGGGTGACATGACAACATTCACTAAAACCTCACAACAACTATTCTCAAAAGCACACCCCATCCTTGCGCAATTTTTGGAAGTTGCGGGTCCTCTCTGCCACAGCCAGTCATGTGGCCTCTTTTGTGTGATTTTTCGAAGCTGCAAAGGCTGTGCTAGAATGGGATGTGCTTTTGTGCTGCCTCCAGACTTTCCAGAACTCAAGTGGCCCCCACAGCCTCCAAATATCACGCAATAACAAGGTGTGATTTTGTACGGTGTTCAGAGGCTGCAGACACGGCCGGATTTTCCTATAGGCTAACTAGGCTTCAGCCTAGGGCCTCAAGATCAAAAGGGGCCTACATTCAAAT